TTTTTTTTTTAAATTTTAGAAAAAATAAATTTTTGAATATCGAATATGTTTTGGATTTCAATTTTAGCTTTAGCTCTTATTCTAAAGCTCACATATATACTACAAATGTATAATTTTAACTTTGCAATTCAGTTTATATAATTCTTTAAAATATGAGATAAGTTTCTTTGTATTAACTTCGCTTGATCAAGTTTTGTTCATTTCTTTTTATGTAAACATCTATAAAAGCTATCGTTCAATTTATAAGCTCTTATATTATGTCTATAAAATACGAGTAGTATAAGCTACAGTATTTAAAATAATCTATTTGAAAGCATTTAATATTCCTCGAATATTTCATTACGGTAAGGGAAGTTCCAGCAATTTGCTTTAAAGCACGATGCAATGCACTATTATTTCCTAATAGTTTTAGAAGACATAGTCTACGATATCTGCCTATTTGTTATATGAGTAAAATATTTATATTACAAATTGTTATAAAACCTAAGTATTAGGTCAACATCGAAAATAATTTTATTGGCTTCCGCTTTACAGCATTTTTTGCCACCTACTTTATTCATATTATTTTTTATCATATTCTATACAAATCTGACATACATTTTTCTTATACATTTATCATAGATATACTGTCTCTTCTTATATCCTAATTTTTCATTAAATTTTCTTTCTTCAATTCCATTCCGTTTTCATTCTTCTTCTTGTTTTTTAATATGATTTTCTCATCTTCTAAACTAAACTTCTTTTTTCCTTCATACTTCTAATAATTTTTTTTTCTTGTATTCTACAAATTAACAATTCTTAATCGACTTTAATATTTTACGTTTTTAAATCTGGTATTGCTGGAGATTCGATCCAAATTCCTCCAGCATGTGAGTCCAGAACGCTATTGAGTGAGCTATTCCCGTCACAATTATATGAACATGATGAAATATTTAATTATAATTATAAATAATCCGATACATCAAGATGTCCCAGCAGGAAACATAAAACAAAAAGGAAATATAATTGATATGCGTTTGCAAACTCTTTATCTTATTGTTAGCGCGTGCGTCACAGATAAATGCCTAATAGGTGGAAGATATTGCGTCTGCACGCGATTTAAATGTACGTACAGGTAAACGGCCTGAAGGCACAGCGGAGCCGCCGTAGCGGATCTAACAGGTGAGAGTGACGGCCTTGGGACGAAGGACCCGGGTTCATGCCCCGCGATGACGTCGAGCCACCGGTAGCGCGAATGCAACTCTCCGGGTGTAGGGCGCCTT